CTGTAACAAAAGCAGAGTCAAAAGATAGGCTGAACATGTAACAGGCTAACACAAAATAAGCAGCATTGTTGAATAGGAACAAAATAATAAGTCAGCAAGACTAATGGGCTAGTGACTTTGCATGTCTAAGATAATTTGGCTCTCTTAGGCGAATTGCCAGCTTCAAGAGGTGATGCAGATGAGCAGTCACCTTCTGACTCTTTAAATCTTTTAGCAAGGCATGATTTAACTCTTGAAAAAGAACCTTCGTTCACTACAATATTAAAAAAGGGAAATAGGGATCAGTGACATTATAATAAACTGTGATATATAGTGCAAAAAGCTAGAATGCAGAAATGTAAAAATATGACCTGAAGCAATTGAAGCACTGTTTGCAGTTTCATTATAGGTTAAAACATGATCAGGCATTTCTTGGATATCCAGCAACTCAGATTCCAGGCGGTCAGTAGTTTCACAATAATATATAATTGTGTAACGTTCCTTTGCATCGGCCAGTTGAGACTGAATAGGTCTAATATGAGCTAGAAAAAATTCTGTTTCAGCTCAGCATGAGTTTTTTCTATGGGAAGTTCAATGTTCTGGTAGTTAAAACATAGAGGAAAGAGAGCATGAGAATTATAAGTATAGAAAAAGACGTGAAGAGAAATTATGTAAATATATATACTCTAGTATATGTGCAGATGTTAACCTGAGTGAAGTGCTCCATTGCTTCTAATGCGGTAAAAGTAAGCAAAGTTTCAGCTAATTCACCAAAAATGGAAGCAGTGACCGTGCCTGTTGTATCAGTCAAATCAATGTCGAAGCGACATCTATATATATTAACAAAAGGTAGGCGAAAGAAATACAGGCACATGACGAAGAATGAGCAAGAAGGAATCCTAGTATCAAAAAGCGGGCGAGACTAAAAAAAAGCGGTTAAAAGTGGTGGACTATATGACCAAAGACCTTGGTTCAGCCGGATGCCTTTCTCTGCATGAATTACATGTAAAAACGACTCCGTGCGGAGCTGTTGTAGAGCGGAAGCATTTTTTGCATCCCATGTACCAGAATTTCTGGAAAATGTGCTCAAACGAGAAGGACACTTTGACCCACGAGCTCTGCCATAAAATTAGCAATGAAAGAGAAAGAAGAAGCAGTTTTGATAAATACATGTGAGAATGGCAGTAATTTGTATAATATAGAGAAGTCCTACCTTTTGTGCTGGTTTCAAAAGGATAATTTTAGTTATTTTCTGATCTGGTTTAAGAGGCACATCAGGATTGAACTTCATGTAAGCTGCGTCAGTAACAAAGTCACTAAGTAGCTGAGAATTTTTCCTAGCCCTGTGTAAAAGAAGAGAAATCAATTAATAATCACAAGTGGTTATGATGAGTATCTTTAAGAAAGGGACAAAGGAAAAAGAGTATTTAGTAACCATTTCTTTAGGTTTCCAGTTTCTTCTATAGGAGGATCAATAAAAATTGTAGAGTCAAACCAGGTAGATAGCACGACTCCTGGAGGAAAATATGGGCAGTTGTCAGGGAAAAGGTAAAAAGAAAAAGATCTATGGAGAATAAGCACTTAAGCGTTTAAATGTAAGAGACATACTATAGAAATGTTAAATAGCATACCATTGTAAAAGCTAACTTTTAACCTGCGACAAACAACAACAGGCTGATTCTGGATGGAATGTGTCATCTGATAGCCTTCGTGAGTTACAAAATCATCCCACAATGACAAGACAATAGGCTGCAGACTAATACACGGAAAAGATAAATTTTTGGAAAATCAGGAAAAAAGAAAGGCATCACATAATAAGGAAGAAATTTGTAAGGAAAAACTTACTCTTTGTTAACAATGACAAACTTTTGAACCACTGACTCTTTTCCATTTTTGTTGATATGTTTGACATCTAGTGACTGAACAACTATACCAAGAACATCTGGTGGAGAACAATACAATAGCAATTAGAAAAAAGTAACATAACCGGTGAGTAAATGAAAAAATTACAATGGTGAAGCTGACCAACTAATTTTTGTTTGTCATCGATGAAATTGACAAGATCGCTGAATTCTGTATAGTTAAACTTCATAGGGAGAATGTCATCATCATCATTGGTTGGTTCAATGACCATTCGGCTGGTGAGAACCCACTGGATCTTCAGGTCAGAAGTTTGATATTTTTCTGGAATGAGCCTTACAATAGTATTTGAAATAAGATACTTTTTATAAATCTGAAGGCGACGGCTGATCTTAGGGATATCATTATTGAATATAATTCCCTCTACTTGTGATCCCTAAGAAAATACAAAAGATTCACAAAGTAAGCAGCTATGGATGCATTGAACTGCTCATAAAAACATAAGATGTTCTAATGACAAGGCAAATTTAAGGAGTAGATTAATGTGGTTTTTTAACAGCGAAGTGCTTAGGCATGAAGTATGAACAAATAGATATAAATGGTAGCAGAAAGAAGACCTCTGGATCCAGCAAAATAAGTTTTTGCTTTTTTGTTGGCATCATTGTTGAGCCAGTTATCTGCTACTTTTCTTGCACAGTTACTTTGCAGGTCCAACCCTCAGATCCAGGCAGGACGTTTTTGACTGACATAACATCGTGCATGCTGCATTTTTTTTGGAAAAGCAGAAAGAAAATGACAAATTAGCAATAGGGTATGAATGTATAAATGATAAATTAATAAGTAATCAATGGTATGACTGATCAGACCTCATATATCATATGTTAGTGAATTTAAAGATATCGTGAAAGACAACATTCCTTGTTTTACAATCAGTTTTGACGTCATCAGAAGTACCCGGAGCAATCAAAACTTTAACTGCAGAAGAATTTCTAACTCTAGAGAGAGCAACATAAAGCTAGCCGTGAGAAAAGACTGGTTCACGGAGGTTAATTCTGACATAGTTAAGAGTCTAACCCTGAGATTTATTGATTGTCATTGCGAAGCATAAACGGACAGGAAACTGTGTCCGTATGAATGGAATACCATTCTTTTCGGTGTCAGAAGTTTGCAAGGGAATTTTTGGGATGAAGACCTTTTTGCCTCTATGAGGACCAGAGACAATTTCGGCAGAAATTGTGTGCTCAGCCAATTCTCTACAAATTAATCTGGTCCCATTGCAAAGACCCTCCGTTGGATTCACATTTCTGATGAGCATTATAGGACAGTTTTCTTTGAGTAAGAGTTCATGAGGAGGTAGACTTTTTGGGTTCAAAGAATTTAGAAAGTCCTGATAATCCGCTTGATATCTCCTATCAACAGTTCTATCACAGCTTATATATCTGTGAAGACATCTAGGGAATTTTGCAATCATCATCTCATTAATTTCATCCACTGAATAGTTTTTTGGACAAAGGACACATCTATTTATCATTTGGTAGGGTTCACATGAGTATAGATTTAGATCAGGAAATATGGTCCCAAGTAACTTGGAAGATTGTACATGTAATTAGAGGGAGCAATCAAAGTACATGGACAAAAAGAACGACTAATAACACACTAAATGATTATAACCTGTCAAGTGATTCTTGTTTGTAATGATAAGGAATAACCATATGAGATGGCAGAGATATTTGACCATGTTCATCAACAGGTTCGACACCTTCTCCAACTTTAAGCAAAAAAAAGTTGAAAATGCTGCATCTAAAGCAGCTCTCATATTTGTTCCTAGTTGTAGTTTACACATATGAGACCATAAATATGAACTTAAAAGAGTTGATTGGACCAAATCTGGTGGAGGTACATGTTCAATAACAGGCAGGGTTTGGCGAAAATCACCGCCAAAAACAATTGTTTTTCCTCCAAAGGGCAGATCAGATTCCATTATATATGTAAGAAGACAATGAAACGCTTCTATTGCTTCTTTTTTTGCCATCGAAGCTTCATCCCACAAGATTAATTTGGCATCAACAATCAGCCTTGCAACACTGCTTTGTTTACTTAATTGACAAGCCTTTTGTTTTGAAAAGTCCAAAGGGATCTTAAACCTTGAATGTGCAGTTCTACCACCAGGGAGGAGCGATGCCGCAACACCAGATGTGGCAACTGCTATTGCGACATATCCTTGTGAGCGAAGAGAAGCAAGAAGCGCGCGATATAAGAAAGTTTTGCCGGTTCCACCTGGACCATCTACAGAGAAAACTTGACCCTTTGAGCAGGATACTGAATCCAGATTTAAATCAAATGCATGCCTCTGGCCAGAATTTAATTTTTGAGCAAGAAGCAGATCTTCTGGATCAATAAGTATGGTTGTTTCACTTTGAATTTCTTTGGTGAGACGCTTACCATGGCAAGACGCAAAGGAATCTTCAAGGAAATGATAATCATCGAGGTTTTTCCCCATGTGCTCCAATGTTACATTAATATCCTAAAGAACTTTTCTTTTGATTTCTATCGGCGTGCAATGCCGATGAGCTGAACTTCGTTTATAATTAGAAGATAGATGTTCGTCGAATGATTGCCAAAGATGTTTAGGGTCTTTCGAGCAGCAACAGAAAAGAAGCATTACGAATAAAGACCTTAACAAATAAGGCATCTGGAAATAAGCCGCTTCCTCCAATGCTTGTTCTATATAAGAATCAGATTCACGCAAGCCTAGCTCCAAACAGGCCTCTCTAAAAGAGGCTGTTTTATGACCTCTAACCATAAGTAAGTCATCAAATGACATTGGACCTGGAATATGTGTGAGTAAAAGTCTTAAATAGTATATTTTCCTTCCATGGGTTCGACAGTTACCGGCCTTCCTATGACCGTTCTACGACTCCTCTCTGACCATGTCTTTGTTTTTGGTGTCCACACAAAGTGTTGAGGAAAACCTCTATATAAACATTTCAAATTCTGAGCTGTGGCATTGGTTTTGTTCATTCTGAAAAACTCAGTCAGCATAGTCTTCGAAAAATCAATTTTCCATAACAGATACCACAAATCTGAACTTTTATCAAAAGAAACAAATTGTTGGTCAGGAAGGTGAACTTGGAGGGTATAAACTGCTGGATTCATTTCTGTTAGGCGAAATTCATATATGCGCCACAAAGCTTCCGGAGGTGAAACCCAACGTGCTTGCTGGAAGGAATTAATTCATCAATGGTACCAGAAGATTCTTGGTCAAGAAGATTAAAGCTGATAAGATCATGACCTTTAAAAATATATTTGTAAAGGTACTTTACAAGCTTAACAATGGAGCAGATTTCAACATTGATGTGGCAATCAAATAGAGCTAATAAGTATGGGCTGTAAGGTATCACCCATTGGTTGTTGAGCTCATGCTTGCGCACCTTTATTTTTCGGCCATCATCTCTTCTTCTATAACATGCATAGTTGTCCTCACCATGAACTGTATAAGGAGTAAAATTTTTAGGATAATGATTTTTGCATTTACCGGCTCTCATGCACGGGCTCTGTTTATCCCTACAACCACAGGGGCCATGAATCATATGCTTAATAACCAGGGAATATAAATGCCTATTCTTCTCAAGGTCTGGTATTTCAGCACAAACAATTTTGTCATATGATTCAGGATTCAATAGTTTGGAGCCTGATTTAAGAATAAGCAGCAAATGGGCATGTGGAAAGCCTCACTTTTGAAATTCAATAACATAGACACAGGCTGCAACCTCACCAGAAATCTGTTTCTTAAGGAGCTCAACCTTTAACATTTCAAACTTAGCTCTAAAAACTCTAGCCAGCAAATCAGGCCTATCCTGTGGTTTTTCATGGTATTGAAGATTCTGCTGAATTTCTTTCCACATCGGATTGCAAGTCATGATAAGAAATATGACAGGCTTGCCGTACCTTTGAACCAAGATCATTGCATCAAGATATCTTCTTCTCATGTCCCTTGGGCCGCCAATAAATGAAGTCGGCAATACAATTCGACGACCGACTCTAGACCCCTGCGTTTGGCCTATTGCAACACTGTCTAGAACCCCTTGAAGGATCTCTGTTCTAATTTCAATTTGTCACTTTCTATGAAAATCTAGTCTAGATATTTCAATTTTTATATATGTACCAACAACAAATTGCTGAAATAATCTCAGGCTATGAAGCAGCATAGAATCATCATTGTCTCTTATTTGCAGCCGATAACAATAGTACTCCCTAGCAGAAACAGTATAATCTTGAGAGGTCTTTTGCCGAGCAGATAAAAAGGGGAAAAAGAGCGATATCTTATAACAAAATATATAGAGTAGGACAGTAGAAAGAGTGTATAAATATAAGAAATAGACATGCCTATATCTTCAAAGTGGAATAAGGTAGAAGGATCCTGGGCAGAAGAAAAATCAACATGAACTTCTGGGTCATGAGTATCAGGTTTCTTCCTTTTTGAGAATACCCTCTTGATCCCACGATGCCAACCAGATTCACCTCTAGGGAAGAGAAGAGGATATTGAAGAGGATCATAACACACATAATATGATTGGACCCTATAACTTGCGTTAGAATGGCTATAAACCTGAATGTGTGGGCTCTTCTCAACCAACTCATCATCTGGCTCGGTCCATATAGCGGCAACTTGAGAGGCAGTAGGAAGATTAAAGACACGCTGATCTAGCCCAGGATAGCACCTAAGAACTATAGCATGGGTCTCAATGGCCTGAACATCCCTAAGTTCTTTAAAAAACCTTCTATAAGGATTTTCTTGCAGGATTGTCATTAACAGCTTGAGGGTGGTCGGCCGAAGCTTATCAGAATTTTGAACTCTGTTTGCGAGCTTTTCATCAGTGTCAAAAAAATATAACTGAACCCCCGAGAATTTATCAGACGGAGAGATTAGACTATCCAAGAAGTGATACACCTGGCCCTGGACTCGAAATGTATAAACCCCTTTTGTATTTTTTGTCAACTCACGATCATACTTAGCACCATAAGACGTGAACGCCACATTATTATTATATGTACGGGAGTTCTTCCTAAAGTGCTCGCATTCCTCATCATTACCAATGAATAGACGCTTAAGAGCATAAGGCATAGCTGGAGCAACAACAGAGATTTCACCCTCAGAGCAACAAAAAGAAAGAGGTTCTGAAGGGAAGCGTTTGGCACCACAGTGTTCACAATTTGGAGTAGGAGGAAGAATAACAGACTGGGTCGGAATATTTTCTAGCCGAGATAATCTGGAAAGCACATGCTGAAGATTCCTACCTGGAAAGATCCAAAAAGAAGATAGAAGTATACAGACATGGCTAATGGGAACGATGATTAGTAGGAGGAGGCAGGCCGGTTCTTTACAAGAGCGAGTAGCAAGTTTTTTTTTCTAAAAGTGACAAGGTTCAAGAGTTAAGCATGATACAGAATAAAACAGAGTTGACACCCACACAAATAGAAAATCCCCTTTTTTAGACAGCTGACAATAAGAATACGAAAGTTTCCTCCTTGTAATGAAAAATAGGCAATTTTTCAAACGACATAAGGATGACTTTTAAACTGGAGTTTGATACGGAGAACAAATAGGCGAAAAGCATGGAGTGCAAAGGCACAGACAGCTGTATGCTATACAAGATAAGTCTAATAGCAAACGAGCGAGTTCTAATTAGGCTACAAAAACAAAGCAAATTGATGGCGAAGCAAATTATAAGTATACCTCGAGAAAGTTGTGACGGAACAGAGGCTGGCGTAGGATAAGAAACTGAAGTAACATATTCTGACTGAGTAGTGAACAGATTTTCCCTATTGTCATTTAAAGACGAAGAAGCTGGCATGGAACTATCCACAGCGCCAACCAAAACAACACCGGTCTGAGTATAGCCTAATGGAGTACTACTAAAATAATCTCGGGTATTCTGGGCAGGCTTTTGAAAACGGATTGTTTCACCAGAAGAAGGCACAGCAGTGGTTGCCTTCTTTGAAGCGTTCCGTTCTCGACGGCGATGAAGCAGGTCAGCTTTCTGACTATGTGGCATTTCCGCATACCTCTTACGTCTCTTAGTATTTTTATTCATGCTTGGATATGCGAGCTTGAAAAGTATAGAAATAGATAACGGCCAATGTATTTCTTTGAAAGAAAAGACACAAAAGGCAGTATAAAGTCGCACACAATGAAGCAGAAGAAGACACATTACAAGTTAAGCATGTAAAAAGAAAGCAAACATAGCATGTAATAGAACGGAGCAAGCTAAGCAGTAAGAGAGAGAGGGGGGAGAGGTTGGAGCAAACAAAGAAGCAAGCTATAACAACAAGAATAAAAATAAATAAAAAAACCACAACAGGGTGATGCAAAACCAAGCAGAAAGGAAATTACCTGAAGCAACAGGCAGGCGTAAACAGAAGAACAAGCTAGATGAAGCAACTAAAACGAGCCTGCACAAACCAAAATGAAGACTGTTAACATTTTTTTTTCTTTGATTTGAAAGTGAAACCCCTCAAAAACCACCAAAGAAAAAACAAAGTAGTCCAAAAGGAAGAAAAGGAACATATGATATACCAAAAAATAGCCAAAAAACGATTAGAATGAAGAATGAAATTTTGGACAAGAAAAGATTCTCTCTGCTATAGGAATTGCACATACTATTTAGCAAAGAGGAGAAGATTACTCCTTATAAACAAGGAAATGTAAAACCAAAAATTATATATGAAACTAATGCATAATCTAAAAACATAAGGACATTGGGTTGTGAATAAATTGTGTTTCATGTGCACAGCAAATCATCACATTAAATGTCAAAAATTTTCAAAATGGAAAGGTATGAAATTTGTAATAGGATTTATATTGGATATATATATATACACACAACACACACCAATAGAAGCAATCATGGCTAGAACTTCTTAATAGGGCAAATATAGGTTCCAAAAAGTTGTTGGCGAGACCAGCAGGGTTCTGCCACATTAAGAACACAGTATTTTTCTTTACTTCTCTTGAGGTTTTCTTTTCATGTCTTGTGTGTACCAAATAGAACGTTTGCTTGTATATATCTCATTCTATTTTTATTCCATATCAAAATTTAACGCAAACGCATTTTCGAATTAAAAGTTAATCAAAACATGATCACAATTCTGTCAGATCTAATACTATTTTTTGTTCTTCATTTTTTTTAAATAAAAAACCACCTACAAATAGTAGAGAGTTAGGCATAAATCACGACTTGTTTATTAAAAAATTTCAAAGAGAACATGATAAAGTGGAGATGCCTCTTAATTTTGACTCAATAAAAATTTTATGACCTTTTATAAATGATCTCAACAAATTGAACATCTGTGATAGCATGAAAAGGTTTTAATTTTTAGCTTGAAATCTTGTCGCATTTTTTTTTGGGTTTTTCCCCATTTTCTGAGTACGGCTTTCTTTTTATGGCTTTCTTTGAGATCAACATAATGTCTTTCCCTTACCGGTTTATAAAAGTGAAAAGAGATATCTATTCCTAATTATGTGGCTATCCCAAGTAAATATTTGTTTTCCCTGGAACATGTTTTATCAAAACTAACATGAATTGTTGGTCAACCAAATAATTAAAAATTATAGAAGTATCTACAACAACATCCAATTTGTTCCAAAAAAAAAACAAGTTGGACAAGAGCTTTCTTCTTGCCTCCATCTTTCAATGGAGTTTTTGAGTTACCAATACGGTGATTAATTGAGCCTTTTTTTTGTTCTTAAATTTTCTAGAAGACTATCATCATTCAATATGGAATTGCGGATTGACTTGGTAAAAGGATCCATTAATTTAAAAACTACGACTAAAAGTCCTCAATTCCAACACCTTAATCCTAAATTTCAACCATGACTTTATTGTCATAAGTGCAATAATAGACAGCTACTATAGTGACAATACAGCGGTATACAACTATACATAATTCAAAATAGTTTTCAAACCTCTTTTAAAAAAAAAGTTGGGGAGAACAGTCAGTAAAAAAGGAGTTATGGGATAATTGTTGACAAATTTCGTCTGCCTCATGGAAGGGCAATTCGGTGGTTTGATATTTGCCATCTTGACTTGGCTGAGCAGATTGTACAACAATTTAATACATGGGAGACTCCTTTTATATGTATACAAAGTGCGGAAAAGAAAGCGTACGGAAGACTGAGGATCATATGGAAACAATAATTTGGGGGAGAAATTAGAGGGGATAGCGCTAAAGTAACATGCAAGAGGAATTTGGGGGGAGGGGGGAGACGGAAGCACACACTGGTCCAGTTAAAAAGCAGAAGGGGAGGGTGGGAAGAGGGGGGAGGGATTCCTTCAAAAAAGAGGCTCTAATTGGTTGGATGTGCAATTAACAAACATCGCGCGGGAAAGGAAAGGGAAAAGGAAAAGGCGATAAAAGTAGGTGAAAAAAAGAGGAGGAGAGGTTACTTGGCACAGCGAAATAGGAAGGAGGGAGGAGCAGCAGTAGGAAAACATGAACGGAAAAACAAATGGCTAATCGTGGGGAAAGGTAAGGAGAAGCAGCTACATCGGCCATCATTGCAGCAACCTAATCCGTCAACAGGCAGGACGAGATAGCAGGAGGAGAAGGCGTGTAAGGGGACAGAGCGGAACAGTAAAGGCTGAGGCGACGCAGCCGGACAAAGCGATGTAGTGGGGAAAAAATAAAAAGAGGAGAAGCGAAGAGGGGCAAAAAAGAGGGAATTTTTTAACATACGAGGCAGGGAAGATAAATTTTGGAGCTTAACAGGAGCTAAATTTTGGAGCTGAATGAAAGAAAAGGGAATCTGTGGTTGAGGAAGAAAGAAAAAGAAGGACAGAAAGAAGATGGAGCCGGTAGAGACGAGCTGGCTTAGCGAGCAGAGAGGCACCTGACGGGGCCAACCTAACGGATGCAGGCAAACAGGACCAACGAAAGACGGGTCTTAGAAGGTGGAAGACGTGTAAGGGCAAAAAGTGAACAGCAAGGTGAGGGTGAAAATGCGGAGGAAACACAACAGCAAAGAGGAGGGTGAAATTGAGGGTAAAACTTGGAGTGCAAAGAAGAGTGCACAAGGAGGAAAAGCTTCGAGGGGTGGAGTCAGTACAGAGGAGACTGACAAAGTGGTAGAGAGGTGACCGACAAGCTCAGCCAGCCGCCCACTGAGCAGAAAGAAAAGAAGAAAACAGTGGGGGGAAACTAAAGAAACAAAAGCAGGCACACAGCGGGAGGAATGATCCGGTGCATCTACAACAGTTGCCAACCAATGCATTCGTTCCACGTCACCATTAAACGAATCCCCAGCCGCCACACGGAGGACGACCACGTCCGACGTGGATACCGGGTGTTCGCCCTTAGTCTATATGTTTAATAAGGAGTTGCCGCATTGCGACACGAGGCTTCTAATAAAAATAATTTTAATTTTAATTTATTTTAGAGTGGCTTTAAATTTTTTTTTTTGTATAGATGAGCGGCAAAGGAATTGTGATAGCCGCATATTTTGACTTTTATGGATAGCAATTGTGATAGCCACACATGAAACGAGCGGCGAAGCAATGTCATAGCTACCATTTTGACTTTTATGCATAGCAATGTCATAGCCGCCTATTAAAAAGGTAATTGCAATGATTTTTTTTTCCGTAAAATGAATTATGTGTTATTTGGCTCAATTAGGATTTAGGGTTTAACGTTTTACACATGAAATCCTAATTTTCAAATCATCATAGTGTAACCCTTTAATCCTAATTTTAAAATCATAATTCTTAAATCATATTACTAAAACTCTATTACTAAAATCCTATTATAAACCAGGATTATCAAAATTTAATATATGATATTAGAATAATGTTAATTTTATAAATTTAGATGATAATCAAGTATCCTATTAAATTACTAATAAAATTTGCCTAAGTCATATATTTAAAATTTTTTAATATTAATGTTAATGATAAATAGTGCAGCATTGAACAATATATAGAATGTAATAATTAGTATATAAAGTTAAATAATAATAAATTAGGCTTAATTAGGGTTTAGGATTTAAGATTTTACCTAATATGAAACCCTAATTTCCAAACTCTCACGGCGTAACTCTTAATATAAACCTAAACCCTTTAATCCTAATTTTAAAACCAGTACAAGAGACCACCTCATCCTCCCAAGAATCATATCAAGAAAAAGCCATCAAGGGCCCAAAAGAAGCCAGCAAAAACCAGTTCCATATCCACTATTGAGATGAGGGTTTTGTAGTTTTAGTTTCATTTAAAAGAGAAGAATGCATTTTTGGAAGGGCAAGGAAGAAGGAGAAAATAGCAGAAAGGAAAATAGGAGAGAGGAAAAGAAAGAAAAACTGAGAAAAGAAAAATTTTGCAAAAATTTTTTTAGAAATAGGCTAGTTTTTCAGCCCCCTTTAGATGCGATTTTCTCCCTCGATTAGGCTTCATTTGCGGAGATTTTGATTTCTACACAAACTAGGATATTAATAGAGAAAGTTTCATTAAGAAAAGTTTCAGAAAAAACCAGGAAAAACCCATCGAATTAAGCCCTCAAATTCACTACTTCACTTCACTCGTGTTTTATGCAAATCCGTTTGAAACTTCAACAAACCCATTCTCATCGTGTTTTCTGATTTCAATTCGATCTTAAATCATCCTCAAGGTATATCCACGACTTTTCCCTTTTTGATTCGATGATTATGCAAGAGATTTGAGGGTGTTTTATGGAAGTTCATGGTTAAGAAATTTAGATCCATATTTTTCTATCATTATTTGATTTTTGGACCTAGTTGGATGTTTGTTTGAGTCCATAACTTCATGAGATTTGTGTATATGAAAAGATTCGGCCTCAAAAGTTAGAAAAATAGACTTCCAACGAGGTTCCAGTCAGTTTGGTCGGAAATTTCCCAGTTTCTGTCGGGTCGACCCGTCGAAAACTTCATACCCGCCGGAAGTTTCTTGATATTTTCTCTTCCATTTTTGCCTCTATTTATTTTGTTTTGTTTATGTTTGATCCATTAGAGTGTAAATTGGGTGTGCTTTTGGGTTTAGTAATCGGGCCA